TAAAATTTGATTCTTGTGCAGCTTCATCTATATCATTAACTGTTTTTGGTTTTTTAATGGTTTTTCTTGGTGATGAAAATTCCGATATCTCACGGTTATCGATTCTTTTTTTTCTCTCCAGAAATGCGGACGACAGTGTTTTTAGATACTCCTGTGGCTGCAGCAACACGATCATTTACATTTTTAAATGGTATTGAAGGTGAATTAAAGTTTCCTTCTCTTCTCATAAACTCTATAACATTGGCTATTATTTCGCGAGATTGACTGTTAATCACGCGGCCTCTTAATTTGCTATTAAACTCCATACTTAGGTTCTATTAAACTGTAATGAGCAAAAAACACAAACGAAAATAAAAGAAATGTTTTAGCGAAATTTACATCTGACATTTACGTCTGAATGAAATAGTGAAATACTTGATGCGCAGAGTGTACTTTCATTGCGTAAATCCGTCGGGATGCCTGTCAGTAGTGCTTTCTCTGTCTAGCCGTCGAAAGCCTCTAGAAATTTGATGAACGGTATTAGGCATTCCAACGACCTGTCAAACAATAGGTGCCAGTGGGAAATTCTTGTATATTTAAGGGGGTAGCGACATAGTCTTGCAACTTGGACGCTATTTTTATTCGAAGTGGTACTCGCCAAGCCTGTCAATTTATGAAGAAATGTATAGATGGGTTTTTTAAATATTACTTTTATTGTGTTTGACATAAAATATTTAAATGTAATCCATTATTCATGATTTTACGTAAAGTAGATAGAATACACCATATGTCGCCACCCTTAGATATACCAAACCTGCCCACTGGTAATTCATTTGTTTGGAATGCCTAATTGGTATAAAGGTGGTTTTTATATCTATGCTATAAAGCATGCATTGGGGGTAGCATGTAGATTATCTAAGTATCAGATCAGAGAGATTAAAATTAAATAACATATGTAGTGGGATTCTCATCTTTCAGTACGTCTCCTATCTTTCTTCGACAGACAGCGATTTTAATGTAATGTCTCTCTCTATTCTGTATGTAATGTGTTGAGTTCGCACAAAAGAATCGCTGTCCTGATCAGAAGAAATTAACCACATCAAAGAAAGAAAATTAGGTCCACAGTTATTTTTAATTTATATTAATGATTGTTGATGTCGCAATAATAAATATGACATTTACCTGTTTGCCTATGATGTCCTTATTTATGTTTCTTGTAAGTTGTAAGGATTCAGATAACTTAGTAAGAGTTAATTGTCAATGAAACTCTGCAAAATGTTTATAAATGATGTTGCAACCATTTGTTAAAAATCAACACAAATACCTAAAACAAAATATAAGCTGATAAGTAATAACTATATGCAGTTTGTGGACAAACAATATAGGAAATTGGAAGAAAATCTATACAGTTAGTAGAAAAATTCAAATATTTAAGGGTAATTATTCGGAAACAGATGAAATTCACAGACCATATGCAAATACTGTTATCAAAACAATTGCAGTTAAATTACATTTCCTATTTAGAATGTTATTAAAATAATTGTTATATTATTACATTATTTTTTACTAAATTTGAATATTGTGATATTAGCAAACTAGCCAAATAAAGAAAATAAAAATAAAATAAAAACCGAAAACATACCAGGATCTACAATAATATAATATATAAATATAAATAATATAAGTACATTGCATCTTTTAAATTATTAAAGTCCATTAAATTGAAATGACACGTCAAACCATAAACGTCAAACTTTCAAAACAAACATGCTTGTGTTGTGTTCCAAATAGAAAATAACATTTATTTATAGAATAATTTATTTACTTGCAACATTTCCCCACACACCACCTCGCCCCTCACCCAGAAACATGGTCAAATTGGGCTAAGCCATTTTACATTCGTCTGCATAGGGAGCAATGTTGCAATTTTTCAAATTTAGTGTCTATTCCGTCTGTTCAGATGGCAGCATCTTATGGGCCCTACATTTTTAAATCTTATCACAAGAATCTTGAAATAATTAGGCAAAAATAAAATAATGTATTTTGCGTTTTAACTTTTAAATACTATAAAAAATGATGGAAAGTCCATAACTTTTAAATATTTGTTAAATATCACTTATTAAAATATTATGCATTAAAAGTAAAACAAACCATAGACTTTCCATCATTCTTTACAGTTTTTTGAACCCATTTATGAAAACAGTTTTTGAAAATATTATCGTTCAGAGCTGTATTTCTTGTGATAAAAAAGTCGCCGTCACTTTGAACTTGGCCTTAAACAAATATCTTTTAAATATAAAATATCAAATGTTTTTAAAAGTATTATTTATGTTTAAACTTTCACCATATTTATAGTTTCATTGTTTTAAAAAACGACAATTAATAAACAAGAAAATGGTAATGCGGCAGCACTGCATGTGTCATCTGTGAATCAGGAATTTTTGTGTTGTCAATCGATAATTATGCAATTTTGATGTTTTTTAACCGACTTCAAAAAAGGAGGAGGTTATCAATTCGTCGCGATATTTTTTTTTTTATAAATATTATGAGTATTAAAAAAATGTTTCCTCCCAAGATGTGATAATGATTTACATTATTAAAAATATTTATTAGTGTTGCTAGAAATATGAAAAGACGAACATTATTATCATTACACAGAAATGCTTCAAGGAACAGCTAAATTATTTTGTTGAGGTTTGTATCTATATTCTTTATTAAAATAAAAATGTTTTATTGTAATTTAATTATTCAATTATCTACCATTGTAGTAACGATGTTTTTTTCTTTTTTTAGATACCAGATGATTTTAAAAACTTCATTTTTTTAAAAGATGGATAAACCTTTACATATAAGAAGTGGATAGTACCACACACATGTCTCCACAGTTCTTGTTATTCGCCACACAAGAGCCAGCACACTGATTCTACCAAAAACAGAAAACAAAAAAAAAATTGACTTGAAAATAACCGACTAGAGGCATTTTTAATCTCTATTTAATAAACATACACTGGATCTTCAAGATGCAGCAGCTATTTCTGACATTGTCCCCTTCGGTTAATTTAAAATGAGGCTACTATAACTTCGAAGGTGAATATCCTAAAACCCCTTCTGCAAGAACCTGCCTCGAAACCTCCTGAAAGTTTTAAAGATAGCAAAGTTTTGTCTGAATCGGAAGGAAACATCTTTAATATCTGATTCAGAGGGACTTAATAATGAGCAGGATCTTCAAAACCAATGAACGTTCAAAATTGAAAATAAACCGAAGGTATATTTAGGATTGCCCAACAGTGTTTTTAAAATCCTCAATATTTATGAGAAGGAAAGTGTAGCTTACATCAACATATCTGACAAAGAGAGTTTGCAAACTAATTCATAAATTTTATCAAGAGAAATCTTACATGAAAAATTGTTAATCATGATATTATAAATCATTATAGTCTAAGATCCGAAGTAAGGTCGACCTTCACCCATCTGTTTAATGGATGAAAGTTTCTTTTTATTACATAAAATAAATTTATAAATATACCGAAAATGGGTTGCCTAAGAAAATACGGTCCAGAGTATTTTTTTTCTTAAAGTTAAAAAAACGACACCCTGTAAAGTATTCCCCAGATGCTTCAACTATGCCCAAACTCAGCTCACCGCAGGATGGATTAAAGCTTAAATTTAAAATTTGGTGTTTTTCTCTTGGTCCGTTTTTGAGTTGTCTTCAAAATTCGAAATTTGCACTTTTCCTCAAATATCTCGAATTAGGTCCATTTTAGGAAAATCATGTATAGGAACAAAATAATAGATAATGACATCATAAATAACTTTTATCATTATTTTTATACTTTTCTTATCTGTACACAGAAAGGAAAGTAAAAAATGGGCGTGACCGTATTTTCTTAGGCAACCCATTTGCAGTATATTTAAAAACATATTTTATTTAATAAAAAATAAGTTTTTTCCATTAAACAGATGGGTGAAGGTCGACCCTACTTACGGATCCTGGACTATTAGTTTAATCTCTTTTAAGGTATGTTTTACTGGTATGGGGTGGACTTTATAATAATACCTTAAAAACTATATATTAAAAGTTATATTTAAGAAAAAACGGAAGGTATCCAAGTAAATTAATTTAGAGAAAGGATATATGCGAACTTCATACTTCCACAATTTGGCAACTTATACGTACAAGAATAAGCATCTTACAATTAATATATCGCACAAAACTGTCACACGTAGCATAACTTCTAAATTACTGAGAGTACCTATTGTAAGATAATAAAAATATTTTAAACAATATTAACTTCTCATTTATTCAATAAAAGAAAAAAAAATTGTTTTCTTATCGGTCACCACGCTCAAAAAGTGTAACTTGAATTAATAACAAAAAAAAAAATACTGCATAAATAAAATAAATAAATAATTATAATTGCATAAGTTGATAAAAATGCTATGCAATAGCTTTACCGCGGCGGTCTCTGAGTGCCACACGTATTTTTCTTTTTCTCATAATTATATAAAGAAAGGTAATGCACAGACAAGTGTTTACTCACTTACGTGCATGTCAGATTGGTAAATAATTGTAAAGAAATAAATATTAAGTTAAAACATTCATATATAGTAATTGTGTCAAGATTATCAACAAAAACCAATCTAAAAATTTGCTGGGATTATTCGGTATATCTTGTTTGAGATTAAGATTGACTACCTGTACAGGGTAACCATTTGGGCAGTTTAACAATAAGTTTTCATCACTAAAAAATTTCACTCCAAGAGGCAAGTGGTAAATTATAATCATCAAATAAGTAAATATTAGAATTTTTATACTTGTTAGCAACCTGTTCAACTGCAGAACAATGGTCAGCATAAGTGTTAATATTAGAACCTGGTGTAATATATACCAAACAGATAACGATCATTGCTAAATAACAACTGTAGTTATATAATAGACCCAAACGTATGAATTGATGAGTAGTGTACCTTGTACAATTCACTGTATTCTTAATTTATACAGGAGTAAAAAAACACATTTGTATTTATTTAATTATGCATTTATTTTTTACACAAAACACACAGCATTCAAAATATCAGTCTTGCAATATTTTACTGCACATTCAAACAGTTTTACATTATGTCACAATAAGGTCATAATAGCTATGTATATACAATTATATAAATGCACATTCCAACAGTCACACGGCCTTCTTTTGAAAAATACAAAAAGACATTTAAAAGAAAGAGGAAAAATGGTACTTTCTGGACTTTGAGCAGTTGACATGTTATTTTATGCAAAATTTTACACTAGTGTGGTAGTGAAAAACTGGAGCACAGGATAGGCATTAATTATACTCCCCTAGGTATGACCATGTATAATATTTGGTTTTAAAGTCAACTACATTGAGGTCTTAAAAAAAATAGTACAAAATTTTGAAAATATTGAGCATTTTTTGACAATTTACAAAACAAAAATAGTGCTGTTTCTTAACAAGTGTAATAGAATATATAAAAACAAGAATTAATTGTTTTAAGCAACGGCAAATGCCTATTTTAAGGTGGTCATGTAGCTAAGGTATCCTTATGCCATAAATCAAACTTTTCCACACAGTAACTCTCAAATTAATAAAAATGGCACTAAGATATAGGAATTTTTCACTAAATAGTAGATTATTACATAGGATTATTTATCATTGATCTGATTTTCTAAGGGAAATGCAGAACAGTGACATGTATGATAAATATGGCAACTATGAATAAATACTTACAGTTACTTTGTACATTTAAAGGTATATTGTTATGTCTAATACTAACATTTGTTTACATATCAAAAAAATTTATATAACATTAAGAAAATGTATAAGTTAATAAAATGTAAATGGATCATCATTCATTTAATGGAATTTATGTGTGGTTATTAAAAATATTTCAGCTTTCAAAATTAAAATAAAATTATTGGTATAATTTTATTATTTCACCATAAATAAAATCATATACAAAGCAAATTATATTATATGGCAAATTTGATTTTTTGAGTTACTGTGCTTACCACATTGTTTTATTAATATTTAGATTTTTATTTAAGTCAACTGGACTTTGTGAATGTCTGTAGGTACTTTCGACTATATATTATTATATAACGCTTCACTTTTCACATCTCAGTTAGTAATATGATTTATTGTAAATTTAAGTAATCAGTGAAACAAAAACTATTTTGACAAAATCAATCTGATTATGTCAAAACAATGACCGTATGATTCCATACTAATCACTCAAAAATATCAAACCCTTAATAACCGAGATATAGTGCCTACTAACAGTGAAATTGTGTAATAGTTAAATTTTAACTAATAAACGAATATATACAACTTATTTGTAATATTTACAATTTTTTTCTTATAAAGATATTGGACTTGTCCATTAAAGTTTAAAGCTTTTTGAGATGTGATAGGTGTACAGATCCAACTCAGAAATTATGGAGCTATAATCTATCCAGAGGAAATATATTGTGCTTCTAGAAAATGTAACATCTCTATTAAATAACACAATAATGTACAATTAAATGTTATGACCATATAGAGCTTCTAATCTAAAATGCAACGTTTACTCTCATTTAATTATGAATATGGAATAAAATTAATTTAAAGATAAAATAAATGAACAATATTTTTATGTCCTATTAAACACGATATACTTCCTATGCTTACCACACTCTATATAACAAAAATAATAGGAAAACATTACACAATTTTTATAGTTGTGTCTGTATCCAACTTTGACAGTGTCTTTTTAACCCGTAACGCCGTTAACCGCACATCAGGATTAGGATGCCAGCACTCTTGCATTACTTTCGCAAGAGCTTGTAAAACTTCTTCGCTTTCCCACCTGAGGGGGATCTGTGGTCGGATTTTCTTCACACATACGACTAGCTGCATATCCTCAAAGGAAGGGTCAGAGGGCGCACAATCATAATATGGAACTGCGTATTCTTCTGCAATCTGAAAAACAAAATAATTTTTAATACATCAAAGTTTTGCAAACCACTTAACCAGTACATTACATTATTTTGGTTATGATCATTCGACAATTACCATAACCATAGCATACCAGTTATGGCGGTAATACTGAAGACCAACCATGTGTAGCAGACTAGTACGAACTTGTCTTTAATAGTCAAATACAATGGAGGAAGAACATAATTTAGTTCACATTATAAAATGTTGGTGAAAATTTTACACCTCTATTTTATAGCCAATCAAATGCTGTTATTTTAAAACTTTTCCATAAAACCCAGAAAAAATATACGAAAATTTTTCTCTTGGTGGGTACCTCACATGAAATTACACTAGACATTTTTTGACATTTGAGAAGTTCTTTCATGCACATGAGGCGATTTTAAATCAGATACTATGTCTTGAATATGATTGACTACACTGATATAAATCAAAAACAATGACGTCATATTGAATATTGTCTTGAAATAGTCAACTTCAACATGACTACAGTAAAAACGTGGTCATCACAGGTATGAAATGTAAAACTTTTACTTTTTAATTATTAAATCATTGTTTGGTTGTGTTATTTGTAAAATAGAAAGAAAGATGTACGAAAGGGAAAAGTGGGACAATGGTGACGATAGGGTATCAGGTTTAAAAAAACAGGTATTTTTTAAAATAAGCTCCTTTTTTGTAGAGATCTAAAAAAAGGTCCTCGCTTATATTTATTTAAACCATTAGATTCCTTTTTCTGAGCTTCTCAAAAACAGGTCAAACATTGTCAAAAATATCATTATATATAACTTTGAATTTAAAAAACGTAGCAATAAGGTACAATGCGGAGCATTTTTGTACTTTGGCGTAACGCGTGCCAGCAAGTTAAAAAGCAGGACAATTACGCCTAAAGCGCGACGTCTGGCAACCCTGGCTGAGTACCTAGATATGGACGCATTTAAGGTTTTTGCAAAAAGAAAAGGCAATTTATTTTCAAGGTAGGATTTATTAATGAACATGGCTAAAGTTTTGATAAAAAATCAGAGGCCAAAGTAATTATAATACCAATTTTCTCTTCATCCATGATCAGTAAACAAAACAAATATTTATTTTTTATCTCTACAAATTCAAAAACAAATCCTACTACTATTACATAACACACAAACAAAAATTCATGATATCTGTCCATGTTATACCCATTGTGAAGTTAGTGTCAATATAAACCAAACATTTTTAAATCAGATTATTAGAACGTCATTATAATGACGTAAGAACCTTGACCACACTTGACTTGGTCACATTTCTAGTAACTGATTTAAAATCGCCTATGATATTAATGGGTGCGTTCACCAGACGTCAGCAGTTAACTTTAAGCGCTAAACGGCTGGGCATTAACGTCCGGCAGCAGATGGAAATTGGCTGAACGCTCCGTTGACCGTTGGGTCTCTGTCTGTCACAAAACTGTCAGATTAGACTGTTGAACATAACCTTATAATTATTGGCTGATGCTGATCCTCGTCAGAAAATAGTGAAAACACCAAACTGTAGGTTGACAAATTTTCTGTATTAGTTTCCATAATATGTACGTTTTAAAAATTAAAAAAGCACGCGCAACAATGAACTGTCATCTCACTGCGCATGTCTAAACATATATTGAGTCGGCTCAGCGCAAATTCATCGCGCTGGGTGAAATTTGCAGCAGATGACATTCAGCGTAAAGTCATCGTGTCTGCCGAACGCGATCGCTTACTCAACAACTCAACTGTTGCCGTCTGGTGAACGCACCCAATATTACGACGCGACGGAGTAAAAAATTTGCCATTTCAACTAAATGACTTTAAATAAGACTAAATGCATAACTGACTTGACCAACTTTGCAAATTTGATTTAAGTCGTTTTAATGCATGTCTGTCAAGTTTTGAAATTTTAATATTTCGATGTAAAATTTTCTTATCGAATACCACACCTGCCAAAATTATTGTCTGGAAATGTTTGCTCACTCAAGAATATTTTAAGAAAATTATCCCTCTTCTTCGACTCTGGAAAATATTCATGAGTTCGAAAAATTTTCCGTAAATTATTTAGGCACTAGTGGTATTATTATAAGTAATAATTCACAATTTAAAGAAAATAAACCATTAATTTGAGAAACGAAAATATTGAAAAACAAAAAAATTAGTAGTCTTAGATCTTTGAATAGTGGAAAACCCACATTCTTTCTTGCTTCTTTCGGCAGAGAAACTAAAAGTATTTAGAGCTATCATTGCTTGATGAAAACTTCACCATTGTACACTTTATACTGCTGTCACCAGCCCTATTGTGTGTGTAATTTTATAGTTGTTTTTCTTATTCTCCAAGAAACTAACTCATACTCAGTGGACGATTTCTGACACAAACGTGGACATAAATGTACAATGTATTTGAAATACACTTTATTCAGACATCACATTAAGGGCCAGTTTTTTCACTTCTGAGTCAAGTTGACAGTAACTACTTGCTGATTAGTTTATAGGTTATAGTTTGCTAATTTGGCAAGTAAACCTATAGTAATTTTACTCAGAGGTGAAAAAATCAGCGTTAATATTAATAAAATACTTTATATTTATCTTTACATATATATGCTTGAATTACCAAGAGGTTAATAAAAAAAAATTAAATCGTTCAAGTTATAAACGTCATGGTGGCTCAGAGAACTATGCATCCTTAATACAAAGGTCACACACATTGAATGATATTTCTAAAACTATAGGGACTATGATAATGAAAATTCACGTGTTTAAAGTACTTCCCTCCAGCATCAATGCACTTTTGAAGTCGAATTTTCCACTTATCGATAACAGGGATGAAGTCAAAATACACGTCGACGGCACAATCGATATATGCTTCTAAATTAAAACGACATCGTAATTTTTTTTTAAATTCAAAAATAACCCAAAGTCACACATTGCAAGATCTGGCGAGTAGGGTGGATGTTCAACAACTGTGATGTTGTTTCCGCCTTATGAGAGGATGCACTGACGTGATGAAGCATCAATCTTCTTACCGACAGCTCTTGAAGAACAGCAGGAAGGCAAACTTGGGTGTATCAAGCGGCTGTAACTGTCCTCTGTCCCTCTAACTTAATAGCTTTCATAACTCCCGTACTCCAAAAAAAAAAAAAAAAAACTACGTACATTACTTTCTTCATTGCATGTTGTGTTTTGATGGTTGTTGTCATCTTCAAAGACCCATAATCTACTTTCCTGACGTGTTGGAACGTCGTAAAAAGGGATATGAGAGTTCATCACCTGTCACAATTTTTGGAATAATTCGATGACCACCATTATTTAGCATTTACAGTTTCTCTGCTAATTCGTTAAATAATGGGGCACCCATTGAGAAACGATTTTTCTGAAGTGCAATTGTTCATGTATGATTTTATGAATGACCGCGGATCCTATGCCTAGGGTTGTCTCTATATTTTGGTAAGTGCAGCGATTGTGTTCTGAGATCAATCTTCTGACAACAGCAACGTTTTCTGGATTTACCGCTGTGCAAGGTCTTCTTTCATGCTCTTCTCCCTTAAGGCTACTACGACCTCTCCTAAATTCCTCAAACCGCTTCTATACATATACAGTAGCCCGAGATGGTGCTTCGTCTCCAAAATGACAACACAAGTCTTTCGACACTTTGTTCTTGGGTTAGGCAAACTTTAAAATTATAAAAGATCATAGCTCAGTAATGTAGTTCAGTGTTTCGCACAATTCACTTAATTCTCAAACTGAATGCATAACTGCTTAACAATAAAACATTGTCTAGCAAAAAATGTGGACTAGAACCTTGTTAAAACAAATACTTGTTGTGAATCTCATTCATATGAGAGTGACCCTCGTATGTGTTTAGTAATATTTTTTTATTTAGCAATTTATTCTATTTATTTATTAACAAATTAATCAAATATTTTGTGTTTCTTACCTTGAGTTTGTCACCTGTGACACATCTCATTCCCATTTCCCATAATACTAATGCAAATGCATACATGTCAGCCATTTTGTGGGCATCAAAATTATGAACATTCATGGATTTGTCAAGCAATTCTGGGGCCATATACCTCCTTGTTCCTGATCTGACATTCGGAGGAACATCAATTTCCTAAAATTGTTCACTAAATTAGTATAAATCTAACAAAAATTTTTGTTACTTTTCTTCGCTTGAGAAAGAATTGTAAAATGCAGAAATTACAAACAAGATAAAGCAAAAAGTACGTTAGAAAAAGTTTATTTGACTAAATTCGATACTTCATTTATTTTTAAAACGCCTTTATATTGATATAAAATTATATTTTAGTAATAAAGAATGAAACCTACTTTTGTATCAGACAGATATTTGACAGCCAATCCAAAATCTGCTATGCAACATTCTCCATTTCTTTTCACCAAAATATTCTTACTTTTGATATCTCGATGGGCAATTGCAGGTTTGCCCTTGGTACCAAAAATTTCGGTATGAAGATGTGATAAACCAGACGCAATGCTCTGAGACATTAGCAGAAGACTTGTAGGATCGAGGCAGTGATCTTGGAGGTAATCATGAAGGCTGCCGAACTCGTGGTAGTCCGTTATCAAAAGCATTTGAGTCCAACTGCCAGTACCTGAAAAAAATATTTGTTTTATTGTAAAACCCAAATCAAAATTTTTATCGAACGTGGATTGAGTTAACTGCCTTATAGGTCATTTTGACTGGCACCAACTATTTTTTCCATTCGGTTTTTTATATTTTGGAATTTTTGAAAAAGAAAATAAACGTTAATATCAAAAATTTGTTCATATCTTTTTAATGACGTCCATAACGCATAAAGACCAAAATCATGGACGCCTTCAGTGAAAACAGGCAAATGTTTTCATATTCAGTTTATCAAATATTTTGTTACCTCATTTCAAAAAGAAACGTCTTAAAATAACGGATTTTTGAAACATTTATTTCATATTTGTTGTTCATGAAGATGACAAGACACAACTTGTTTCTTTTTGAACTTGTAGAAATATATTTTTTGATAAATTTTAAACTTCCTTTTGGCATTGAGGTAGAGCGATTTGATATTTCTGTAGAATTAAATTTTTCTTAGAACTCCTTCTTGAGAAATCCATAAATTTTTTCTGTTAGTTGACTTTTTATGATAACTAACAAATAAGATGTTTACCCCCATGTTTAACCATGGATCTTTTATATCAATGGATTTTCGAACAACTTTATTAAATTATTCTGAAATGGTTAAAATGGCTTAAATGTCTTGACATTGACACTGCCAGTCAAAATTAAACCTTAATGGTTATATTATATTATTATATTGAATTTGGCAAAAGAAAATATTTGTTACCTTTAATATCAGCTGCTATAAATCCAAGTATATTTTCGTGCCGCATCAACACAGTCTGATAAATCTCAGTTTCCCTAAACCAACTTTGTTCTTCAGTCGTAAAGAAAACTTTGACAGCAACTTTAGTGCCCCTCCATTTTGCCAACCATACTTCACCATACCTCCCTTTTCCTACAGAATGAATCATTTGAATTTGTTTCGAAATGGTGCGTTGAACTAAAATTGGAAGTCCAGATCCGGATCCACTGGACTGTTCAATTAAATTAGTAAGGGGACCATGGACCTATAAAAAAAAGAAAATATGTTTATTGTTTAAAATAGTTTAGTTTAAGAAAACATATTTCCGATATGTTAATTTTTCTCTGAATAAAATCAATTTCCTGTATCTCCATCATATTTATAAAAATGTATGTATTTACTTGTTAACAACACAATCCTAACGTTTTAAAACAATAAAAAAATGTAACCAACAACAAATAAAAGGGAAATTATTTTTTTTTGTAAAAATACTTTATTTTCTCATAATATAAAGATTCCATTTGGTTACACTAGTGTAGTGGGTTATTTGTCAAATAAAAAAAAATTTACAGTGTGACCGCCGCTCCAAGTACGATTAATAGATTCATTATATTTAAAAAAATATTACATTTAAGTTTAATAAATAATAGAAGAAAAGAAATATTAAATTAAATTATATCTTCATTGTTTTTTGGGGATTAACTTAGTTGACCAAAATAAAATTTTGAATATTTTAGGCTTAAATATTAAATGGCACCACTGGCGAACAGTGTACCTTTTTTAGACATACATAATGAACGTTATTTATTACATCGATACACTAAAAATTACAAGAGAGAATAAACATCAATCAAATAAATGCCCCAAGAGATTAATTTTATTATAAAAAAAAATAAAAAAATTTCAGGAATATGTGTAAGTTAATAATTAAGTGAATAAATGTAGGATAAATAAAATAATAAAAATTAGTAGAAGCAATTGAGTCTTAAACCCCTTCATCAGAAATTTTTTAATCTGAAGCTATTTGTTCTTAAAAAATAAACTAATCAATGGTCTCTCTATTGCATTCTTGAACACTTATCGTCTGCCAAAGTGGTTAAAATAATGTAAAATATAATTGATTTATGTTGGAGCTTTAAGTTAGTGGCTTTGAGGGGAACTTCAGTAGTAAGTTTCATATGCCTCTGCCTAGGTAGTTTGGCCCAGAATGATTGCTGTTGATTGGTCCAGATCAGACAGCCAGCCGTTTTAATTCCCACTAGCCAAATAAATTAAGACCTTATTTCACCAAATTCTGAAAGTATTTTCACAAATTTGAATGAGTAAGACTTTCCTTTTGCTTTTACTACATATTCACCTTGTGTTATTCACTTTAATGTAATTGTGTAAAACCTAAAATATTATTCAAGATATGTTATTCAAATCAAGAATTCTTATATTTCCTTAATATTGGGAATTGTAAAATTTGGACTAATGTCAGACCAGTAGTTCTGAAATATGGAAATGTCGAATTCATTAAGTATAAGAAATTAAAATAAATTTATGAGTAAAAAAAAGATGATACATATTAAAATATATAATAATAATCTTCTTAATATTAATTCAGCCCCTTATAAATGAATCCTAGAAACATAGCTTGTGTGGGAGAGGGATGATGTTTATTATTACTTTCTATTGTGCTGACCAAAACCACCATTATCGACATATTGATTTTAATTTTTTTACTAATTTAATAACTTACCTCCATTTTAGGATATTTTTCGGTAGCATAACCCTTTCCATATAATCCAAATTTTCTTTGCATCTCCTTTCGTCTGTTCTTAACATATACTATCGCCACTACTAAAAGCACTAAAGTAAGGCAAAAGGTCACAGTGGTCAGTAAGACTGTGAAAGGTAAACTATCTGCTGATCCAAAACCAGGAGTTTCGGGGGTAGGCCTCTCTGGGTAAGTAGGGCGTAAGAATTTGTTGCATTCGTCTTTCTCATTGCAGCACTGAATAGATTTGCTCTGTTCATGAGGTACTAGGTGACCTTTGCACTGTAAACACAAAAAATATATATGTTATATGCTCTTGCTGTTTTCTTTTATACAGTGCTTTTCAGATAAAAGTATCCGCCTAAAGTAACTTTTGAAGGACCAATTATTACAAACAAAAACAAGTCAATTAATATTCGAAGGGGGAGATACTGTGCCATATTTAGGTTCTTAAAAAGTCACCCTTTCACCCCTGCTATCATCCCTTCAATTTTCGGAGAGGTGTAACTTTTCCGGGGAGGATATTTTCAATACCCACCTTAATTTTCATCACAGAATCACCCCTTAAATTTTTTCCGTTTTATTTATATTATTCTTATTTGAACAATAAGGATTTTAAAATGTAAATATATGGAAATGTCAAAATTCTGTTATTAAAAACTCAAAAAAGTATTTTAGTATTCGCGATTCAAGATAAAAGATACGCCCTCTGGAGGAAATTTGTAAAAGGTGTCTTATAACTAGGACATTATTCAATGTTGCCAGGAGTAGCGAAATTTCGCTACGTCGTCGGATTTTTAGCCCTTGAAGAAGTGGATAGGACCTTTTCTTAAGTAGCAAAATTTGTGTCTAGTAATATGTAATCATACTTTATATCAGGGTTCGAAAATATCATGATATTTATATAAATATCATATCACATGATATATATCTGATATATAACCGATATATATCATTTTTAAAATTTAATTATTTAATTAAAAAACAGTATTGTTTCTTGCACAAACTACATTTTAAATTTGAACACAAACATATTAACAAAAACCCATATTCTAAACAACAAACCGTTTATTCTAACTCAAATTAAAATGAAAAACAAAAGTAATTAATAAAATTAACAGATAACATTATTTTATTAACATTAATATTTTATCACAAACACATAAACCGCTAGTTATTATACTTTTATACAAGGGCGTATTGAGACATTTTCGGATGTTCAAAATGGTAGAAAACATTTTTAATTTATTAAATAAAATTATCGAATATATCGGATATATATCAAGATATAAATATCATGATATATATCGTGATATATATCACTTGATATATTATATCTTCCGAACCCTGACATTTATTTAAGGATTTTTTTTATAAAACCGATGTATTATACTGATTTTTTTTAAATTTCATTTGATTTATCAATTTTGTTTTAAAATCTGTTCATCATTTGGCAAAATTGGTGTTCGTGTTCACTGTTGTAGCAACCAGATAGGTAAATATTTCCATCAAATTAATCATAAACAGATGATAAATATTAATTTATGAGGAAAGCACCGAAACTAAACTTAAATTAACACTAAATGAAACTCAAAATTACTATTATAATGAGAATATTATGTAAAAACAGTAAAAAAATCATAAATATAAAATTCCGTCTAAAACAAATACAAAATTATCAAATATCCTACTTATAGGTGATAACTGACAGGCACGCGAAAATTAATTTGAATATCATGTAATCACGAATATTCTCTAGTGTCATTTGCTGTTAAAAGTTTTCTCGTTTTTAAGCAAACGAATGTATTGTGAGAAAAAGGGCCAGTTGCTAAATAATTTTTTTGATACAGTAGTTTCTTTATAACAGACTTCAAAAAAGGAAGCGGTTCTCAATTAGTTGGAATAATTTTTTGTATGTATGTTTACTGATAATTTTCTACATTACTTTGGACGATTTCCATGATCCTTTTTTTGTTTATCAGAAAGGAGGTACCTTAGGGGTGGTTCCATATAAATTTGATCAAGATCTGATGATGGGATCCATGAGAAAATCACCAAACTCTTTAATTTGCAAAGGTATCTGCGCGATTTTGAAGTCGGATTTTTAAAATTACTTATACAGGGTGTCCCGAAATTATACGATCATATTTTAACAGCGTAATCTACATCCTAAAATAGGAGTAAAAGTTCATATAAACATAGGTCCGAAAACGTTTCGTTTTCGAGATACAGGGTGTTACAAGTGAAGTCCTGATGTCACATTTTTGTAAATATTTTCTAAAATTTCTTTAGTCACCAGATTGTTTACACTTTTGAATAAGATAACATCAACTTATTATGAAATTTTCAAATGCTTATCTCTTGAAAATAGTGCGTCCTAGCGAGATACAACAAAAGTAGCTTTATGAAACATGGTTTTCCAAATTTTATAGTCAAAAATGTTAAAAACTGTCAACAAATAAAAAGTTAGGGCAATTTTACCCTAAGCCCCCCTAATTTACCGACCTATGAAGATGATCAAAAACTGGGATTTAGTCCATTGAATAGAGCGTAAAAAGGTAAGCATTTGTACCAAATTTCACTTAGTTATTTTTAAACGTTAGGAAAATATTTACAAAAGTGTGTCATTTGGACTTCACTTTTAACACCCTGTATCTCGGAAAAGAAACGTTTTCGAACCTAAGTTTAAATGAACTTTTACTCCTATTTTAGGATGTAGATTATGCTGTTAAAATATGACCGTCTAATTTCGGGACACCCTGTGTATAGCGTTATTGTGAATTTATTGAATCTTTTAAATCTAAACACCACCATCGCACCAGCAAATATCATCAATATTTAAAATAGTTTCTAATTAAAACTCTGAACTCTAAAAAGTTGACTTATACTTGTTCCTTATAATAATTTTTTATATTATCTGTATCGACATAAGATGAAAGGTTGTTTGACCAATAATTTAGTTCTTCTATTTCTGATAATTGAGTATGTAAAAACACTAACCTGCATAAGTCCCCGTTCATCATCAGGAAGACATCCAAAGGTGTAGAAAGGTACATCTTTATCTTGAATATCATCATAGACAGCTTCTACAGAAGTGAAGCATACGCCACCACTTCGAATCTCACAAGTTCCATTTTGCTGACCGTCAGGACAATGGCCTTCGCAGTAGCATCGTTTTACTAGAACAAAAAAAATACGATTATATTTCATGTGGCAATTCAGTTGGCTGATTAATTTAGATTTAAAAAAGTAAAGCGAAAGGCAATACAATTAAAATATTGCTGGTGTGATTTTACATTTTGGCGGGTATCAATTTTTTATTAGAAACTAGAATATTTGAGGATTCACATAGATTTCTTTGTCTTACGACTAATGAACTTTGTCCAAAAATTGGTAAAGATTCAGAACACTATCTTTTAGAAAATAACCCCGGTGCAGAAGAAACACTGTAAATCATGGGTCGGAAACAGGTATGAAAAGCAGGTGCACTGCTGAATAGCTACTGTAGTTCCCAGAGAAATCGTTTTATGGCTGTCAAGAAATAGCGCCTTTTGAAATAAAGCGTATCAAAAGAGCGCCTGAACGAAAAGAGCCTTTATAAATAGCGCCATACTGAAACAGCTCTTTATCGAGATGGCGTCTACTAAAACAGCGCGTTTCGAAATAGAGGTCCAGCGAACTAGATCCAGATTTAAAAAACGCTGTTTTAACTTATTTACCTAACCTGTACGGCCTGGAGCAGTCGCGGGTTGCTACGCAAAAAATATATATAAAATGAGAGAAAAAAACTTTAATTTACTTACCTAACCGATCGCTCACGCACAGGTTAGGTAAATTAGTTAGGTTTTTTTTAGACACTTAATGTATAAAAAAAAAGTGAAGCAACCCGCGACGTCTCCAGGCCGCATAGGTTAGGTAAATTAGTAAAAACTACGCTGTTATATCGGTCAGGCGCTGTTTAGTTACGCGCTATTTTGTTGGAGGCTATTTCGTTACACGCTCTTTTGGCACGCGCATTATCGTTCGGAGCTATTTCGTGACAGAGAAGTTCTCAATAGATTCGAGATATGTATTCACTATATACCGGGTGTTCAAATTAAAGTGTTACAGCTATATACCGCCTTTAATAAAAAAAAAAAAACGTTTCAGACGAAAGTTTTATAGTTTTGTAGGGAAAAAGTTTTGGCTAAAATCGTTTTTTATAGCTAACCATAATATGGTCAACTTTTTTTTCGCCTAGCAAAATTTTTTTATGTACTTTAAGAATATGTAAAAAAAATTGGATTCCCATTTAAAAAAACAAAGTCCACCTCGATATAGCCATATTATGATCAGCTATAAAAAAATGAATTTCGCCAAAATGTTTCTCCCAAAAAACTATGAAACTTTTGTCTGAAATTTTTTTTTCTAAAATACATAGTTTCGGCGGTATTTAACTGTAATACTTTAATTTGAACACCCGGTATATTTTTCTAGGTCGCAATGAAAATAAGCAATTAGTGCCAAACGATCTATTTTTCTTTGTAAATACAAGTTATATAACTCTTATATTTCAGATGATCAGTACACAACATTACATCTCTATTGTTCTTTAAAAGCCAAAGTAGGTAATTCCACTCACATCCATAGGTAGTGGGGATATTATTTTAATAACACGTCCGGCAAACGTGGAGGTCTGGGTTCGACTCCCGACAATGAGAGGTTTTTTTTTCCTTCAAATCACAGGTATTTGTTTTCACATTTGTGGCCCGGGGATGATCTTAATAATTCGTAAGGGGATTTTTGAGATTTGCCTCCGAATTTTCAAATTATTTAAAAACTTATTTCAGATAATTCTAACCTTTCGGATTTCGATTTGCGATCTACGATACCTATATTAAATTCACAATTTTCAGAAGACTTTTATTGCCTCAAACTTTAGTGGAAAACCAACTGTGAAAAAAAAATGAAAATGACATAAAAAACCTACGTTTATTACATTTTGCAATTATTTAAAAAAGTGTGATTAGTGTTTTAGCCATTGCCGGTCGTAGGAAAAGTAAAGTATAATGGAAGGGCCACAATTACACGACTTTTTGCACTTGTTACACAATATATACCTACTATTATAATGAAAGCTTTGTTTTCTAACATTATTAGTAAAATTGTCTGATAATAATAATCATACTATGATCATTTCTATTTATGCTTCATTTATATGTTATATAAACATGTGTTTATTATCAACTATTTGATTTTTTTATTAAAACTCTCAGAAGCATTGCCCACACAAATCCTGTATCTAGTCTCGTTATTAGCATTGTTTAACTAGAACGTTTGGCGAGATCTTTTTAATATCAATTTCTTGCTAGTATTGTTAGTGGAAAACGAGTTATGCATTTGAACGAAAGACAGTGGGATTCATTTTTGAAAAAAAGAAAAAATGAAATGAAACGATTGTTCTGCGTTATATATATTAAGCAATGTTTTAATTGCGTGGGGGAATACAAGAAACGATTCGTGTAATAGTGTAACTATGTATACCAAGAAAATTGATTAGATCACATTCTTGTAGTTGTTAAATATCCATCTAAATTACTGAAAAGAAATAAAATATTGTTTTATTATTTTTATCCTCGTAAATATGTTTAAAACATACCTAAGAAAAATTAAAATATACCCGTGCATTCACTGTGCTACGCAGGTGTCAAAAAAAAATAGAAAAAAAAAAAGGTTTGAATCAGTTACTGACGCAAACAGTGCTAAATTGATCTTTTTATTATACTACTCAACATTGTTTGGCAATGTCGCTAACTTTTTATTATCTGTTTATAAAAAAATGTCAAACTGCTAAAGTTGTTTCCAGATCAGCACAACAATATTCTTAAGTACGTAAAAAGATCGAGATATACCATTTGACGATGTTCGGCTGACGATTTTTAATTAAGAATATAGGTACGTACTTATCAACATTTTTATATTTCCCAAAACATTTAAAAGTGTAACAATGTACACAAAACTGGAATTACTTCAATTTTTAACGATGAGAGACAATGTTTCCCGTATTCCTCTAATTTCACTTTATGAATTTTTCAATTTAAAGATGAATATTTACAGTTATTCCAACAATAAATAATTCACATATATCATGAACAAATAAAAGTTTTCAGTTTTCGTATTTGCTAACTAATAATTTTGTCATTCTAATTTGTTTTTTTTTCTCCAATATAATTATAAATTAGTTTCAATTGTATTTATTTTATGCAATGACAAATTTGCTGAAAAACAGCATTCAAAGAAAAATTTAAAAAGTTCTTTAAAGTTCTTGCTTTCTATCTGAAATCAGATATTTAAAAAATATTATCAGGTATTAAACTAATGCACTTTGTACCACATGTACCATATTAACTTTTATTAATTAGAAGGGTATTTCTTAAAAATTTGGATGTGCGGCACATCTTTTTCCACGGGCGGACTACGATAAGTTATATTATCGTAAGTTAATATCGTTGTATTTTAATTAGTACTGTTATTGGAACATTTGTTTTAGCTGCTTATTAACCAAAGATCATTTTTAAGTGATTTTCTTAAATTAAAAGATGTTGTAGTTGAATGTAATAAGTGTTAAATTTAATTTTGGTGTTACCTTTTAGTGCATTTGGATACGCACCTGTGGGCGCCAGCCTCTCTCGTTATGTGGCTCGATTTTGTTGATCGGCTTTGAACCTCCAGTTTAATAATATGTTCAGTGAGATGGTAACTCGACAAACAAAAATTAAAAAAAAAAAAAAAACTATAAAAATATCCATTAAGTGTTACACTTTGAATTATGTCAAATTAACTGTTAAGCCCCGATTTAAAAAAAAAAGTCAGGCATTTTGTCTTTTGAAATAAGTCAAAATCTCAACTTTTTACGCGCCATTCTGTATTAAATCTATAAAGATTTATTTTTATGTTTTAATAAATATCTAGTAGTTTTTAAATGGGATGCTTTCCCAAATTTATTTCGAGTGCTGCTTTATCGTTGCACAAATTTAAAGCTCTCAATATTGTCAATACACATAATATCACAAAGTATTCCCAGTGGCAAGCATAAAAATACAATTTTATATTAGACAATCTTTAAAATATTGTTGCTTGCGCGAGAGGTCTGTTTTGCTCTTAATATGTGCAAGTAAGTCAATTTAGTGATTAATTTTTTACGAAAATTAAAACTGTAGTGTGAAGGAGTGAACGGAAATGATGTATGATGGTTAAGGATATGTTAGGAAGGTTTGAAAATCGATCTGTTTTTGCATTTTTTTTTATTCAAACAAATTTCTCTTTACAAGACATTCAAATCTGGTTAGTGTTCCGTGCTTCGCCCTATTTATTTTCTAATTAGCTTTTTAGATCGTGTAAAATGTTTTCGCTAATTAATAATTAATATTTGTTAATTCTTTGAACGTTTTACCAGAATTCAAGGATCTTTGTCGGGTTTTATTCATGCCCCTTGATAAATTTTTCCCCGTGCAATCCAAATTCACTGACATTGCCGGATTTTTTTTTTGTGTTCGTTAACATTTTCATCATTTCAATCATTTCGAAAGCCTATATATACTGCAAATATGACAGTGTTTATTCGAGTTATAAGTCTTTTTTTACACCCTCTAATTGTGCTAGTACGTATGATTAAGTAGGTAGGTAAGCTTGCTCTTTTGAGATCTTTAAGTATTACCAAAATATACAGTCGGCACCATAAGGGAAATTTTTTATTAATAGTTTTTAGAAAAAAAGTTACTCTTCATGGTCTAAAACTTTTTTTAGTCGTATATTAGTCGTATGTAAGAGTAAAGTACCTTTATTTTTAACAATATCGTTAATAAGAGTTGATGAGAACTGAAAACTATGGCCAGAAATCCAAGATTATCTTTCTACCTACCTTAAAATTACGAATTACCTATATTTTTAATTTTGCAGATCATAAAACTGTTTTATTCATTGTAAATGGATAGATAATATTCTATATCTGATTGTAGTTTTTAATTCTGATCAACTTTTCTTAATAACAATTTTCGATATTGTTAAAAATAAAGTTTCTTTGCTCTTACGTAAAATTCATATTTTTCGTCAAATCTCGTATATGACTGAAAACAATTATATCTAATGGTTGTATCTTACGTCTTAGACTATGTAGAACTTTATATGAGTAATGAACTTT